CTTATAATGAGATGAAGGAGTCAGCGTAGCACTAACCTGGCAGGGACCGGGCTGCCCCATCCCTCCAGTTCCCTCTTCCCCGCGGGCTCGCCCTGTGCCTGGGCACTGGGGTTCAGCTGCACCGGTGCCCCAAAATCGCAGCTATCTGCAAGCGCTTGGTGAGCATGAATGGCTCAACCCTGGCAGTGTTAGCCCTCCTGCAGACACTGCCACCTCGCAGGCAGGCAAAGCCCTCGGTCCCCAGCCCCCCGCCAGGCCAGGGCGGGCAGAGGGGCCCCGGCTCCCGCTGCAAGCACCGCGGGCACTGGAGGGACCACAGCTCCGCTGGTAACCCTGCTTCTCTCCCTGCCTTTCAGAAACACCCAGGTGTCTCACGCTGTCCTTGGCACAAACGTAAGTGCGCACGGGGCTAAGTGAACCGCGCTGGAGCTGGAAAGCCGCCTCGGTTTGTCTGGCTGGGCATGCATCTGCAGTGACCAAGCAAAGCTGCTTTTGCAGAGCAGACCGAGCTGTGCAGCTGGGCACGGGGCTGCGGGGAGCCGCAGCCCTCGCTTGGGTGCAAGGAGCTCGGAGAGCCCTGAGCCGAGGACAGGGCATTTCTGCATGCCAGGGGCAACAAGCCCCGGAGCTCTGGCTGGGACAGGAGGGCACGCTCCTCGCCCCGCTGCCCCTCGCACCCCTCTGCGGGGTTACTGCGTCAGGCACTAGCCGTGGTGGGAGGGCTTGCTTGTAGGCAGCGTTTTCTCGGCTTCCTTTTGTTGTTTGGGGACTGTAGTTCACCTGAACACCTTTTCTTTCCTTATTTTCTCCTCTTCTCCAGTGACCCGACCTTTGGGAAGAGAAACTTTGAGCCCATGCTGACCGTGGAGCTGTGTGGGACAGCAGGTAGGACAGGCTTTTGATTTTTTAATTTTGCAAAAATCCTCCCTGGGAGGGGGCAAAGTTACCCTAAATTCAGCCTGGAGTTGCCAGCTCCAGCCGAGCCCAGCTGAGTGGGCATGTTCATCCCCTGGCCCGGGAGCCCCCCTTTGCACCACAAATGCAGGGGCCTTCCCGTGCGCTGCCTCCACAGCCGAGCACTGCAATCAGCTCGCAAGCTGCATCCTTCCGAGATGCCAGTACTGGGGAGAAGCGTTTGGGATGGGGGGGCAGTTCAGGGGGCCCCTGCATGAGCCAGGAGGGAAGGGAGAGTCCTCTGGTCCCTTCTGGGATCAGGCATCCTTTTTCCCCAAGTGCCACTGGATGGATGAGGCTGCGGGGG